ACCGACACGGTGGAAATGTAAACACTTAAGCAGTTTAATGTGATCCTTTATTGACAACGTTTCGCCCATGTAGTGGGCTTTATCAAGTCACAAACAGATCCACATGGGTGAAACATACGTGACTATATATATAGGATGGGAATGCTGGGTCAGGTGGAAAAAGCTGCATGTGACAATCTTCAGAATGGAGTGAAGAAATCAAAAAACTTGGGTAGCTTTTAAAAGAGATTGGATAAGTACATGAGTGGATCTTCTGCAATGTTCCTCGATTCTTATGTTCTTGTGTGGGATAGCGATGAAGAAGTTTCTTGGCGAGGGGTTCAGCTATGTTATAGAAGCCATTGTTCTGGTTGAAGTTGTTGGATGTACAGGTAAGTGATGATTCCAGGATTCTTCAGTATTGAGTGTTGTCTTCTCTGGCAACAAGTCTTGCGTTTCTGTAGATTAAACTACAGAAACGCACAGGCTGGTGCTTATATACTGGGGACAGGTAGAAAGGGACGGGTAGCTACCCGTCTAATTTTTCATCTTCTTGGTATTGTATATCATTCATGTACAAAAGGCTCTTGGTGCCATACTGATAGTTTTCTCAGTGATTCAGAGCAGCTGTTGTGACCTGTGAGAATGTTTGGTATTGGTGGTAGTTGATAGTGATGGGGATTGTGGTTGGAAGTGTTTGTGGTTGATAGTGTTGATTTTTTTTTTAACACTGGCTGTCTCCCACCGAGGAAGGGTGACCCAAAAAAGAAATACTGTCACCATTTTTCACACTATCACTTGCCAAAGGCACATAGATATGACAGTTTAGATATCCCTCTATACTGCAGATATCCCAAACCCCTTCTTCAATATGCAGGCGCTGTACTCTCACCTCCAGGATTCAGTCTGGTAGGTGTGGTTGATATGGTAGTAAAATTAACAGTAAACCCATACACTCTCCAACAAGAAAGTTTTGTTATGAGTAAAAGTAGGCCTTAGACAAGGATGTGTGATGTCACCGTGGTTGTTTAATATATTTATAGATGGGGTTGTAAGAGAAGTAAATGCGAGGGTCTTGGCAAGAGGCGTGGAGTTAAAAGATAAAGAATCACACACAAAGTGGGAGTTGTCACAGCTGCTCTTTGCTGATGACACTGTGCTCTTGGGAGATTCTGAAGAGAAGTTGCAGAGATTGGTGGATGAATTTGGTAGGGTGTGCAAAAGAAGAAAATTAAAGGTGAATACAGGAAAGAGTAAGGTTATGAGGATAACAAAAAGATTAGGTGATGAAAGATTGAATATCAGATTGGAGGGAGAGAGTATGGAGGAGGTGAACGTATTCAGATATTTGGGAGTGGACGTGTCAGCGGATGGGTCTATGAAAGATGAGGTGAATCATAGAATTGATGAGGGAAAAAGAGTGAGTGGTGCACTTAGGAGTCTGTGGAGACAAAGAACTTTGTCCTTGGAGGCAAAGAGGGGAATGTATGAGAGTATAGTTTTACCAACGCTCTTATATGGGTGTGAAGCGTGGGTGATGAATGTTGCAGCGAGGAGAAGGCTGGAGGCAGTGGAGATGTCATGTCTGAGGGCAATGTGTGGTGTGAATATAATGCAGAGAATTCGTAGTTTGGAAGGTAGGAGGAGGTGCGGGATTACCAAAACTGTTGTCCAGAGGGCTGAGGAAGGGTTGTTGAGGTGGTTCGGACATGTAGAGAGAATGGAGCGAAACAGAATGACTTCAAGAGTGTATCAGTCTGTAGTGGAAGGAAGGCGGGGTAGGGGTCGGCCTAGGAAGGGTTGGAGGGAGGGGGTAAAGGAGGTTTTGTGTGCGAGGGGCTTGGACTTCCAGCAGGCATGCGTGAGCGTGTTTGATAGGAGTGAATGGAGACAAATGGTTTTTAATACTTGACGTGCTGTTGGAGTGTGAGCAAAGTAACATTTATGAAGGGATTCAGGGAAACCGGCAGGCCGGACTTGAGTCCTGGAGATGGGAAGTACAGTGCCTGCACTCTGAAGGAGGGGTGTTAATGTTGCAGTTTAAAAACTGTAGTGTAAAGCACCCTTCTGGCAAGACAGTGATGGAGTGAATGATGGTGAAAGTTTTTCTTTTTCGGGCCACCCTGCCTTGGTGGGAATCGGCCGGTGTGATAATAATAAATAATAATAAAAATATGTATATCATGATGGGTAGATACCCTCGCCTCACCTATTTAAAAGCCAAAAATTGTTGTAGTGATAGCAGCCCTACACAGCACATTTTAGTCTCATTGCATGAGCAGTCAGGAAACCACCAGGGTGCACATTTCTGATAATGCTTACCCAAGGTTTGGAGAATAGCAAGTGATACTGCAGTAAGAACAGAGGTGGTAAAAAAAACAGTTGTGAAACTGTCAGTGGGAGTAAGGATGAGAAGTAAAGTGAAGAGGGAAATGATCACTGTCATGAAGATCAGGTACCACAGACCAATCAAAGTCCAACACTATAGAGGAAAAGCATAGAGTAATCTGTAGAAATGAGAATGAGCACAAGGATCTAAATGGGTACCAGTATTTAAAACATGGAGGAGAGAAGTAAGAAAAAGACTCGAACTGGTCCCCTGGTGAGACCCTCCTGAGGAAATGATGAGCATTAGAATTAGTACTTGTACCTAATAAGAGGAGGGGCAGAGGTAAGGCAAAAATTAGAAAATGGATGTTGGGGATAGATAATGGGCAAGAAGAGAAAAAATACATCAGATCGTGTGACACTTGCCCAGATATACCCAGGTTGTGGTATATTTAAGCGAAGCATGAACAAAAAGCCAAGAGTATACACTTGTTACGTCTCGTCAGAAAAAATATCAAGTGAATAATAAAACAAATCAGAAGGCCAACAGTGGAACAAAATGTCAGTTATTTTAAACAGATAGAAACAGGAAAACAGGGAGAGCAACACTTGAGGCTTTCCCAATATTCCACTACAATACAACCTTTATCAGAAAAAAAGTAAGACAACAGCAACAGAAAGTAGGCAGTAGCTATGGGCTAAGGTGGACAGTAAAGTCAATGTTAGGTGGTAGTGGAAAGATAGAAATGTGTGATGTGTATGTAGTCTCTTAAAGGAAATGTGTTGGTCAGTAGGTGTAGGGGGGATTGCAGAGGAAGTGTGTGTGAAGGTAGAGGTGGGCGTGTTCAGTGCAGCTTTTGTCTCCTCAATAAAAGCCATTTGACTTCAAGAGTTTCTGAAGACAAGGGAGTAGCAGGAAGAGAGAGGTGAGAGTAGGAAGAGGCAGATGGAGCAGACATCAAAGAGACCTTGGCAGCTGTCAAAATTGTAGGAGAGGAAAGGTGTCCTGGGAGGTACCAGTCACAATGGAGCAAGTACCATAGGACCCCTGTATCCACAGGGAATACGTTCCAAGGACCTGCTGCGGATATAAGTCCTATACATACCAATTATAAAGTTTAATTGATAAATTATGCACAGTAAGTGGAGAATTATCACTTTTTCACTGATGGGAAGCACTTCTTGTCCTCTCTCAGGTTTTGAAGAATTGCCAGCTTCTCTACTTTTGTGCTTTGGGGCCATTATTTTACAAAATTAAGAGGTATTTTTGGGCCACAGTAAACCGTGGATAACTAAAACTGCGGATACCGAATCAGTAGATACAGGGCTTCTAATGGAATTATTTTAGGCACTTTTACATAAACCAGTTTTTAATGCCAAGGTACAGGATGCAACTTGACAATATATTATTATAATCAGGGTAAGAGCCTGCCATTTACTATTTCCATGGAAAGCACTACTATTAATACTAGTTTGATCTGGAATACATGTGGCCCATGGCATGGTAAACAAAGCTCTCGCTTCACATAATGAATGTCCGTAGTTTGATTCCCGGCAAGGGTAGAAACATTGAGCGTGTTTCCTTACTCCTGTTGTCCCTGTTCACCAATCGGTATAAAATGGGTACCTGGGTGTTAGTCGACTGGCATGGGTTGCATACTGGGACAAAATTTACTTAATTTGCCCAAAATGATCTGCATAACAAGGGGTTTTCTTCCATATAGTAGTCTGTCATTGATGTCAGCTAGTCCTGTATACCTTGTACATGTACTTGTAGAAATAATGATACGTATTATTATTAGTAGTAGCAGCAGTAGTACAGTAATTTAGATGGTATGTACTTGCTTTAACACTTACTGTATGACAAATGATGACCTTGACATTTTTTAATTTAGTGAATGACCAATTATACTCAGTTCAATTCATTTGTCAGGAAATGCATTCATAGTCATGCCATTTTACTCTTAAAACTTATTGTTTACAATGTCAATAGTACATCTGGGGAAAAATGCAAAATGTACTGTACCTAAAGTTCATTATTATTATAATCATAACTAAGCACTAAACCCACAAGGGTCATTCATACAGCACTGCATTCCTACTGTTGAAAACAGACATTAAAATTATTTTTTTATGGTATATCATGCTGTATGCATTTAGTGTTTAAATTCATAAGAATGTAGTATAAATGGTGTGGAATACATTTCTCTTATTTATTAACATTTACAACTTTAATGTTTTCCTATGCTAACTTTTGACACAGTATAAACTCTTATGCATTCTACCAACATTAATACATAGTTTTAAATGTTTATACAGCAGTGTACTGTATATTTTAATAAATAGAATAGAGGAAATCAGCTCTAATATACATTACTTAGGCATGCATACTGGTCAGAGAGATGGTCGTTAAAAAGAGTATGTCGTTAAGTGAGGAGAGACTGTACTACAAATTACATTCTCTACTTTATACAACATTTTATTTACATGTGTTTGAACGTGGTGCTACTGAACAGATACCTGATGAACTTATAATAACTGATGATCCATTTGGTAAAGGATAGAGACTGTCAGTGGCAACAGTTTCAAGTTTTGGGTTGATGGCCAGATAACAAACATGTTCCTTCATAATTCTTGATACTTCAGACTTTTCTGTTTTGTACAAAAGTATACCCTCCTCCCTTAATAGTAGCTTGAGATAACTGTAAATACATGATTAATATGAAATGAAGATACTGTCAGGGAAGGGGCGTGTCACTTTTTTTTTAACCATCTTTCTTGCCTGTAATTACAAAACATTGCCATCCAAAACACTTGCCTAGTAACATCTCAGCCTACAGTATCTACCCTCGTGATGGAATGAGGGATGGCAATGGCCTCATAAACATTAACAGCACATGTTAAACCATCAACTGAATCTAGAACAATGCCAGGCCCCTTTCTAGCCCCACACCTGAAAAAATTTTAATTGCATTATTGTACACAATTTTATTTTTCAATTTTTAAAGAACAAATACCGACATTATATAAAGGTTTTCTCCCTGAAATACAGGATTACAGCAATAAGCAATAGACTTGCAAACCTAAGACTGTAGACATGGAGGACAAGCACCCTGAAATACTCACAATATATTTCAGCAGCCTTCTCTTTATTTTTTCTGGGGCTATGTGGGGCTTCTATTAGTAAAACTGGAAAAAAAAAAGTAAAAGAATTACATTTCGTTTTTCATCTTATCTTTTTGTATCAAGACAGTGAAAAGATAAGCTACTTTGAACAATGTGTGGCAAAATTACATTTTGGTTTTGTAACTGCACATCTTTTTCATAATTTGTTATAAAAATATTTTTCCATGTATATTTGTATTAGATTAAGTTTAGTTACATTAACCTAACATATTGTATGTAGAAGGGGCCATCACAGTTGTGTTGGCAAAGTGCACAAAATGTCCTACATTGTACGTATTTATGTATAACTTAATTTTACATTATGACTAACACTCCAGCTGTCTCCCACCAAAGTAGGGTGGCTTGAAAAAGAAGAAACACTCACAGTTCAGATGCCCTTCCAAACTGCAAAAATATCCCCACCCCTCCTTCAGTGTGCAGGCACTGTACTTCCCACCTCCAGAACTCAGTCTGACTAACTGGTTTCCCCAAATTCCTTCACAGATGTTACCTTGCTCACACTCCAACAGCACAAGTTACAAAAACCACTTGCCTTCACTCCTAACACCCTCACACATGCCAACTGGATGTCCAAGCCCCTCGCATACAAAACCTCCTTTACCTCCATCCTTTCCTAGGATGACCCTGCCTTCCCTCCACTACAGATTTATGCACCTTTGAAGTCATTATATTTTTTCACCCTCCTTTGAATGTCCAAACCATATATGACATACAAAAGAAATGAATTATTACATGTTCAAATTCTTTTACTGCATACACATCAATAGAAACTCAACGTGCTTCATGTACCAGATAATGAAAAAGCAAATTAACACCTGATTCTTTTCAGCTCTTATCATTTTGGGATGGAAGGAATGAGGGGTAGGGGTCATCCCAGGAATGGTTGGAGGGAGGGGGTGAAAGAGGCTTTGAATTTAAATATAAATTGCATGAGCATTCAGCAGGCTTGCATGAATGTTGGTTAGGAGTAAATAGAGACAAGTGGTTTTAATGGATATGCTATTGGAGTGTAAGGTAACTTTTTTGAAGGGATTCAAGGAAAACTGGTTAGCCGGATTCGAGTTGTGGAGATAGGAAGGACACTGTCTGCACTCTTAAGGAAGGGTGAGGATACAACAGTCAGAGGGTAATCCAAATCATGGTGTTAGCACACTTTTGGAAAGACAACATTAGAATGAATGATAGTGAAAGTGTTTTCTTTCAGTCACCCTGCCTCAGCAGGAGATGGCTGTTCAGAAAAAAAAATTGTACTCCATGATCAAAATCAATTACAGTACCTTGTTTAATAATACACCACCCACAATCTCCCAAAAGTTTAAAATATCTTGCATATACACCTTCCCTAAATACTCAAAAAACAGTTTGGTTAACTGCTTTAATGAAAACTTTACATGATGTGGTTCTTGAATACACACACTAACCTCTTCAGCAGATGCTCTAAGCTGGTCCTTATACATAAACTCCCAGATTCTTAACATGTCATCCCAGTCTGTCACGATTCCATGCTCCATTGGATAATTATAAAAGGGAAAAAACAAGATCTTTTTTTAGTACAGTGGTACCTCGAGTTTCGGCCATAATTTGTTCCAGAAGGCTGTTTGCGTGCCATTACCAAACGAGTTTGTTCCCATAAGGAATAATGTAAATTAGACTAGTCCGCTAGCGCACTCAGCTCACATGCTGAGGTCCGGGGTTTGAATCTCCTTCGGTACGGCTGGAAAACATTAGGGACGTGTTTCCATAAGACACCTGTTGTCCCTGTCCCTGTTCACCCATCAGTTTAAAATGGGTACCTGGGTGTTAGTCGATTGGTGTGGGTCACATCCTGGGACAAAGCTGATCTGATTTGCCTGAAATGCTCAGCATAATGAGTGGCTTTCTATATAGTAGTATGTCATTGATGTCAGCTAGGCCTGTATACCATGTACGTGTACTTGTAGTAAATAAAGATATTAGTATTATTATTACATTGTCCATTTTCTACCAATTTTTTACCTTTTTATTATGAATTTTGCACACCTACTAGTAAAACTCTATCAACAGTTACTATAAATATAACCTACAATGTGCTGGCTTAAAATGTAGGTATTTTTTATGCTTACCATATAAAAAAAAAATATTTAATAAATTTAGAAACTAAAATTTCAGTATCAAAACATAGTACTCTACTGTAGTACATCATAATATCAAGGACTATGAGTCCTATGGGTTTAGCACTTCCCCAATAGCAAGAATAATAAAAAGTTATTGCAATATTTTTGTCTCAATTTAGGTTATAATACATATATTTAAGAGGTAAAGCTGGTTATTGCAAACCCAGTACTGGAACCTTTGCAGCAAAATTGTATCAGTTACAGTATCATAAAAGTACATAGTACAAAATTCATATAATGATTGACTGTAGGAGTACGTACTAGCATCTTTAGCTAACAGCTGTTCTGATAGAGCAACTTTAGAATTAGTGTCAATAGATTTTGTTAAACATAGAGCAATAACCCTTCCCACCCAATCCTCTCCATCACACAACTTTAAATAGTTTCCCTTGAAAAGATAATAGAGAAATTACAAAACATAGGACTAATGATTTTCAAACTATTAAACCATACCCCCGGCCGGGATTGAACCCGCGGTCATAGTCTCAAAACTCCAGCCCGTCGCGTTAGCCACTAGACCAGCTAGCCACAATAAGATTTATCCAACTAGGTATATTTCTACACCATAGGAAGGTTAGCACAGGCACCACTGTGACCACAAATGCAACTTTTTACAGACGAATCTCCAGCTAGCGTGGCCGTGACGAACTCTAGCTGAAGTCCCTTCACTGCCGTCAACATGACTCAAGAAATTGTAATGACACGATTGCAAACAAACCATACCCCCGGCCGGGATTGAACCCGCGGTCATAGAGTCTCAAAACTCCAGCCTGTCGCGTTAGCCACTAGACCAGCTAGCCACAATAAGATTCATCCAACTAGGTATACATGTATTTCTACACCATAGGAAGGTTAGCACAGGCACCACTGTGACCACAAATGCGACGGGCTGGAGTTTTGACTCTCTATGACCGCGGGTTCAATCCCGGCCGGGGGTATGGTTTGTTTGCAATCGTGTCATTATGATTTCTTGAGTCATGTTCAAACTATTACCTTGTACACATAAATATCAGATAAGGAAAACATACAGTATATGTACGAATTTGGGAAGTGGCATTTTGGAGTTTGGTCACCTGCCAAACCAGCTTTAATTACACCAGAGCCCTGAAACAAAACGCAAACAATTATACAGCCTCTCCTCACTTAGCAATGTACTCGTTTACCGATGCCTCGGACTTAAGACGGGCTCTCTGACCAGTATTTATACCTAAACAGTGTAGTGTATATTAGAGCTGATTTCCTCTATTCTATTTATTTCAATATACAGTACACTACTGTATAATCATTTAAAAATATACCAAAATTGTAATAAATGGTGCAAATGTGACATTAAAACAATATCAGAGATGGCTGACACAAACCCACCACTATTGTAGTATGCTCCTCATTTAGCGACGAATTCATCAAACAACATAGTCTTAGGAATGGAACTCCATCGTTAAGTGAGGAGAGGCTGTATAATATTTTAGCATACCAGCTGCCTCCCACCAAAACTGAGTGATCCTAAAGAGCAAACACAATCACCATCACTTGCCCTTAACCGTTTTCCATAAGTGAAAACTTATTATTATTCAGTGACTCACCAAACCATAACATCTGTCGCTCGGCTTACATACTGAGTGTCCATGGTTGAACCCCTGGCATGGATGGAAACACTGGGCATGTTCTCTTAAACCTGTTGTCCCTGTTCACTTAGCAATAAGTAGGTACCTGGATGTTAGATGACATTTGTGTACTGCATCCTGGGGGACAAGAAATAAGATAGACGGTCCCTGATGATGCACTCTATTGGGTTATCCTGGGTGGTTAACCCTCCAGGTTAAGTCCAGACAAAATATTATCTTCCCTTTTAAGTTACAAGAACTAGATTAGATTAACTTAATTTAACTTATATTTAGAGGTAAATTTTAGGTTAAGGGTTAAGTTTATTTTTAGGTTAAAACTTTCTTCCCTCAAGCCCAGAGTATAACTGTCTTGACTTAATATTAAAGAATTTACATAATTAAAAACTCTAAGATCCTCAAGTCAATATTAACCAAGGTACAAATCCATGATATACCTACGAGTTTCGAACATCAACAATGGTTATAATTATGACCATAATTTTTAAAGGGGGGGACTGGTACGCCAGTGGAAGGCCTCAGTCTCGTGACCAAAAGCTCCAACGGCGGGTCATCATGTGAATAAGACCTGCGTCAGGAAACATTTGTCCTGTTTCCTGACGAACCTTACCTAACCTAACCAACAAGTTCTGAGAGTCTACTCTAGGAGCCCGGCCATGGGCCAGGCTCGTATTAAGAGGCAGCATTACTTCAGTCTTAGTTTACATTTCCGCAGGTCAGTATTATACAAAGGTATTTCATCACGCACAATTAAATTTTCATATTTATATCGTGTTGCCAAGGGTAAAATCATGATAAATAATGTAAATAATGTGCTAAAAATATCTAGCCAAGACAGGACTCGCAGCAATGGTTTTAAGTTGGAAAAATTCAAATTCAGGAAGGATATAGGAGAGCAGTGATTTGGTAATAGAGTTGTGGATGAGTGGAACAAACTCCCGAGTACCGTCATTGAAGCAAAAACGTTGTGTAGTTTTAAAAATAGTGTTCCTCCCTTAAGTCAAGGTGACCTGACCTGACTAGGTTGGGTGCATTGGCTTAAGCCGGTAGGAGACTTGGACCTGCCTCGCATGGGCCAGTAGGCCTGCTGCAGTGTTCCTTTGTTCTTATGTTAACACAAATGTAATGATCAATAAATCATGGATATCCATATAGTTCCTAAAAAGGATTTATCACCATATAAAAATAATTTTTTTCTGCCCAACAGCTATCAGTCAACAACTTTCAT